GCGTAGCCGCCGCGGTTTTGGAGCGAAATTTGGATACAGTTTTTCTTTTCGGTGAAAGCTCTGCTAAAACATTTTTTGGCTGAAAAATCAAACACACACCGGTGATTCTGGATTAGGAAAAAAGAAAAGCGATCGACACACTTGATATACCTATACGCAGATTGGGTAAGTTTATTCGAAACATCAGGCAGGGCCTTGGAAAAAGAGGCAAAGTGTTATAGGGTGAACAAAAACATTCAAATCATTTATTATTGATAAAATTGACTCAAAACTTAAGGCAGGAGAAGCGAGGCTCAGCCTAAATTTGCCGTTTGTGCATCCGCGCGGTCAAAGCGCGCGTGGCTGCTACGTGTTTCCCGCGAAGAAGACGTGTAGCGTGGGTTACTCATGGGCACGATCAACCTCGTTCCCAGCAGCCATCTAAAAAGCGGAGTAGACCCTGGGAACGAGGTTGGAGCGCGACAAAATGGAGTTGAATTCCCTCGAGGACAGTGAAAATTATGAAAGCTTTATATGAGCAAGTAATTATTCAGTAAAAATCATCGATATCCGGAAAAGGTTTTTACTTTGCCAAGGTAAACTGGCATTCAATTTTTTCCTGGTCATGCGTAGAAAATTTCTTTCCTTGATTTGCTATGTAGCCTATCTCTTGGGGCTCGGGAATTTTTTGGGAATTGCGTTTTATAATTTTCTGGCGAACTGTTTTTCTTTTGATAGAAAGATTTTGGCAAGGACTATTCAGTTTTAGGGTTGATAAAAAAAAATGTACACTGCCACACCAGAAGTTCATAACTAGAAGTCTACATCTCCGGTAATGAGCTTTGAGATATGTCTTTCGCGTGTAGGCTATTTTTAGAACGACTTTTCCGCGAACAAGTAGCCAATCACGTTGAAGTATTTGCTGTTCGCTCGTGGAAGGATGCGAGAAGCGCGAACAGACACGTCTACAACTTTAATTTTAGGCCACTTTGTATCGGTTATAAGACGCCCTCGAGCTGTTACAGTATTAGCCTTCTCCCTTTCCTCATTGCTTCTCAGTTGTTCCTGGTCTCTTTCAAGACGCGATGTCATACATTTTCTTGCTTTAGTCGCAAGTCTGGAGAGAAGCACTTGCCTCCCGTTTGGACCCGGTTTGTTTACCTCAGTTCCTTCGTCTTGATTGCCCTTTGACGCGTCGCTATCGAAAACACCTTCTTCGGGCTGATGGTGAAAAATGTTTTGCCTGTTTCTTTACATTTCTTTTCATAGTCCACCAAAATGAAGGGCGCTCACAAAACAATTACGACCGCGGCCGACCGCGACCGAAAGGCGATGATGAAGACGCCATAATCTGACGCCAAAATGATATACACGCCATCATTTCACAATAAACTACGTCATTTTCGCGCGCGCAAGGTTTGTCCTAAAAATAGCCAACTCGTGAAAGACAGCACGAGCCCTAATCCTAGATGTAGGCTTCAAGCTTATGACCACACTTGATTTTATGCAAAATGATTTCATTCACAAATAGCTACGAGTTTCAGTCACACATATAACGTGATATGGCAAATTTAGATGCTTGGACAAATAAGACTTTTTTGCGTTACGTTTTGAGCCGTTGAACTTTTTTTTGGGATTGATAAATTTCCCATTATTCGCACCCCGCGGTC